ATTTCACCTTCATCATTTTTATCTGTACGATTTAATGGTACACAACGATTTGGTAACCATTCACCTAATTGTTCACATGAGCCAGTTAGAAGAACACTATCACAAGGATTTAATTTTTCTTTCACAATAACACGAAATTCTACATCATAGACAACTCGACGAATCATTTTTGTTTTGTGTTATTATTTATAACTCATCCATAAAGAAATATAAAGATTTATATATATAAAACAAAATGTATATAAAATGTAATTTGTTGACAAATAATAAAACAGTAAATGTTGCTAACCATGATAGAATAAATTTCACTATTTGATTGATTTACTGACAAGAAAAAAGAATATTGTAATGAATAGAAACGAAATATAGAAGAAAAAGAAAAGCATACAATTTTTTTGCCATTTTCAATAAAAACAAAAAAACAGAATAGAATAACAAGGTTTTTATAGTACTGAATAGATGATAATAATCTTTAATTGGAAGGATATTTATCTTACAAGATAATTGATGATTTTCTTTTCTATTATTGAAACGTACGTGTTGATGGTGTGATTGACTCGTGATTCAATATACCAATTTCGAAGGGGCAGAGTTCGAGTCGGAAAGTTCAAGATATTAGACAGAAGCGTGTCGCTTATTGTTCCATAGTAAGTCTTCTTGTCTAGATGTCACACGTAATCAGTAACAATAAGAAAATAATGGGTATAGACAATTACTGTCGGTCTCATAGACTAAGAAATGATAATGCTAGGAACTTTTTATAACGAAAAGAAGAACATTTATGAATTTAATTTCAGCAAAAAACTCCTCTGAAAGCTCATTCTCTTGTTTTCATCACAACTAATATCAAGATGTCTGTAAAGTACAAATGTTTTTTGTATTTTATGATCATAAAATTATCAGTGAATGCACGTACATTTCGAGGCCTATTTGAGTGCAATAAATGATAAATAATACTATATATTTATGGTTGTAAATAAGAAGACTATGGACCCTATATGCAAAATTTCGATTTGACTTTCAAATTCATCGCACGCATGATATATCTCATTCGTTTGCATATTAAATGTTGACTAAAGTGATCATATAAGTTTCTTTTTTTGTCTTACCTGAGTCATATCAACTAAAATCATTGCTTGTAGATAAATATAGATGGAAAAGTAGTTTATACTTTAAAAGAAAGATTGAAAAAAATCAATATGGTTGAATGTATTTTAATAGATATGTATTGATTCGAGAAGTTATATCTACTAAATAAATTTTTTCATTGATCACACAAAAAAACGAGTAAAATTCACAAATAGATTTCAATTTAATCTAAAAGAAACTTGATTAAGTAGAAAAAATAATAACTCTGTTGAAACAATATTAAAAGTCAATATTGCACATGATTAGCTAATGTAAAAAGAGTGTTCTATAAGGATTGACTTCATTTTTAGCTTTTCTAATTGTTGTCGTATTTAAAGATTAGTGGACATCAATGCGATAAATTTTTGAAGAGTAACATCTAAACTATCACTCAAAATAAATTGCACTCAATTAACATGAGCTCTAACAGTGTTGCATTAGTAAAAATATTTAAAATTTTTTTTTTTTGAAATTTTGTTTTACGTTTAATATCAATATTTTTAAATAGGAAAGGTAGGGTAATGGAAATCTGTGTCAAAACTATTAGTTTTAGAAGTGAATTATTCTGATCGTTATTCGTTATAAGTTAAGATAAGAATACAATCATAGTTTAAAAAATAACAGTCAAACAACGCTAACTATATGAGAGAAATTTGAGCATCTATTTTTTCGGGTCAAAAAATTCAATTAAAACTTTTCAAAATCGCCGTGACATTCAGTAAGTCATTTTAAGCCACTTTGACTTCTGTTGTGTCAATCTTTCATCCATCCATTTAATTCCTTGTGATACACATCGATTAAGATACGTAGTCTCTAAACTTGTATGCCTCTAATTCTAGCATGATATTATGTTGCCGTTATCTCCTATGTGTACGCAAAAATAAATTTTTCCTCATTTGAAGAGCATACCTAAAAATGTGGTTCATAGTGAGTCACTTGTATTTTTCCTAACCTTAA